TTAGGAAATGGTCCTAGTATATCTATGCCAAATCTTTCTGCCACTCCTCCACAAGTAATAGGCTGTAAAAGGCCTGCGGGTGTTAAATATGACCTTTTTCTTGTTTGACATTCATTACAAGTTCGAACATAGTACTCAATGTACTTTTTCATATTGGAAAAATAAAATCTTGACCTTGTTCTCTCATAGGTCTTTTGTACCCCCAGGTGTCCGGATAATGGGTCATCATGCATAGAATAAAGTAATTCTGATTTTAATGAGGATGGGATTACTGGAACTAATCTTGGCCCAGTTTTAGGGTAAATTGCCCGTTGAAGTATGTCGTTAACTAAAGTGTATTTTTCAATTCTTTTATCTCTCCCTCCATTTTCTTTACTATTTTCAATTAGGGCAATTATTTTTCTTATTTTATTATCATTTCTTTGTTTTTCTTTCAACTCATCATTATTATTTATGACCATTAGTAGATTCAATTCTCTATCAATTTTAGGCTTTTTAGCTTCGTCAACGGGGTTTCGTGATAAACAATCGGCATCTTTATGATGTTTTCCTTGTTTATAGGTTACTTCAAAGTCGAACTCTTGCAAAGCTAATGACCATCTGGTCAATCGTGGTGATAATTTCTTTTTGTTGAAAAGCCAACATAATGAGCAGTGATCGGTAATCACTTTAAATTTTACTCCAATTAAATAAGATCTAAATTTTTCAAGAGCAAAGATAATTGCTAAAGCTTCGATTTCGCTAATTGGATAGTTTTTTTCTGCTTTAGTGGTCATTCGAGAGGCATAGGCCACTACATGGTTAAGATTATTTTCTTTTTGGAGGAGAATAGCCCCGAGGCCTATTGCTGACCCATCACATCTAACCTCTGTTGGTAATTTATTATTAAAGTGAGAAAGCATCGGTTGCGTTGCTAAAGCTGCTTTCAAGGTTTCGAACGCTTTTTGTTGATCATCTTCCCATTTGAAAAGAGCTTCTTTCATTGTTAATGAACTTAATGGTTTTGCAATTATCGAAAAATTGTAAATGAATCGTCTATGATATGACGCCAGTCCCAAAAATTGTCTCAACGTATTTAAATTGGTAGGTGGTGAAAGCTCAAGTATGGCTTTTATTTTCTCTGGCTGTGGTTTAATCCCCTGTGAGCTAACTATATGTCCTAAATAATTAATAGAATTTACTGCAAATGCCACTTTTGGTGGTTGGATAACTAAATTCGCAATTTTAAGTCGGTTGAGAATTGTTTCGACATGAACTAAATGTTGTTCGAAATCTTGGGAAAAGATCAATACGTCGTCTAAATAAGGAATACATGTTATCCATTTTTGATCAGAGAGTAAGGTGTCCATCAATCTCTGAAAAGTTGCTGGCGCATTTCTAAGGCCAAAAGGCATAACCACGAACTCATATAGCCCGTCTCGCGTTATAATGGCAGTTTTCTCTCTATCTTTTGGGTCAATCTCGATTTGCCAATATCCTGATTTCAAATCAATGAGAGAAAAGAATTTTGACCCTGTAATACAATCAAGAGCATCCTGAACACTAGGCAGAGGGTAATTATCTGGAATTGTATCCTTATTTAATCTTCGAAAGTCACCACATATTCTTACTCCTCCATCTTTCTTTCCAACTCGTATTACTGGAGATGAATAAGGTGATGTAGATTCCACTATGACCCCCAAGTTTTTCATTCGATTAATTTCCTCTTTAACTTCTAATCTTTCTGCTAATGAATAAATGTTGTAAGGTGGTAGAGAAAAAGGTCGATTTTCTCCGGTATCAATTTGATGCTGGCATAGGTTAGTTTTACCTAATTTATTTTTTTCAAACGCAAAGGTATCGATGAACATCTCTAACACGCTCTTCAACTTGTCTTTCTGATGTGATCAAGCGATTCACCCACTGCTACAGTACCTTTACTTAAACATAAAGAGCTCAGTTCAGATTCAACTGCTTGATTCTTTTCTGACTCTATCATTGTGATTTGCTCAATTTCTTCGCTCATAAGCACCGATTCTTTTCGGTTTAGAAGGGTTTTTACTTTTCCTATGGTCTCATCGGTCTTGATATAGAAACTGAAATTTTCTGAATTACATATGGTTGCTTCTCCTTCACTATCCTTAAGTTTGATTTGATTTGTGGCTAAGTTTAATCTAGTGGTTTTGACAAATTTATCTCCTGGTTTGATGGAAACTTCTTCATTTATTTTGGAACTTTGCTTAACTATTACTGGTATTTTAACCGATGATTTCGGTGGAATTAGAGTTCCAATTTTTGCACTCACGGTCAAAGAAGTTGGTGTTTTAATTTTTGTTTCAACAACATTTTCATCTTCTTTAATCAAACTCGGGGTATCTGATCGAAAATAAACCTTGTTTGAGCATGGATCTATCAATGCTTTAGCCTCTTTCATGGTGGACATTCCGATTATAATATCGTACGGCAAATATTCTAATACCCTAGCCTTAAATGACACTTTAGCTTCTCTGTCTTCTTGCTGTATTTTCGCATCTACGTCAATTTCACCGATAGGAATTTTCAAGGAACCATTGATTCCTCTTATTCCACCTCCTTCCCATGGTTTCAGGACGCATCCCAAAGCAAGGAAACAGTTTGAGGTGATGAAAGAGCTTTCTGCACCGGTGTCAACAATGGCGGTGAACGCTTTATCATTGATGTGTACTCTAACCATGATTCTATCAACCGAAATGAGACTGACAGGCCGAGCATTGGCATTCGGATTTTCTGGAATTTGTGGAATTCTACGATTAGGTTGAGCTTCATATTGATTTTGTTGATTATAATTAGACTGATTGTTGTTACTGAATCGTCTAAAATTATTTTGCTCTGGCCTTCCACCTCTAAAGTTTCTATCCTTATTGAAATGACAAAAACGAGCAACATGACCATACCTTCCACAGTCATAACATCTCATTTGTCCATCAGAATTTCTCTGAAAACGAGGTCGATTTTGGTGACCTTGCTGAGACTGTGGATTAAAGTTTCTACTTTGATTTTTATCTTTATCCAATTTCAACTGAGTGATTTCATCCATCAATTTTTCTAACATTTTCTCAGTTTTATCTCGTTTTTCTTCTTCAAAATTATCATTGGAAACGTTCTCTAAACGTTTTCCCACGGTTATTACATCCTGAAAGTTTTTCGGACCTGCGATACAAATCGCATTTCGCAATTTAATAGGCATTCCTTCATACAAGTAATTGAGGATCTCATTATTTGTCATCGAAGGATTAACGTCTCTACAGAGACCAACTTTATCGTAAACATAAGTTTGTATCTTCTCAAAACGATTCAAAACCTATTTTTCATCTTTTCGAGTTTATCTTCATCCGCAAAATCTTCAAGAAATATTCTCTTAATTTCCTTAAAGTCAGTTATCTGATCAGATATTTTGATTTGAAACCAATTAGAAGCTGGACCAGCGAGCCAACTGAAATTTCAACTTACATTGATCATTTGACCAATTAAAATGATTACAAACGGTTTCAAATTTATTCAACCAAGCTCCTGCGCTTGCATTATCATCACCACGAAATATCGGTACTGAATAAAGGTTCGAACTCAAAGGTTGCTTGAAATTTCAAGACCTAATCGATTCAATTGTTCTTCATCAAGTGATCGTCGTTAGAAGTCATAATGTAAAATAAATCTTTTCTGTCTTACCTTGAAATGGCCTGAAATTAAATACTTCCAATCCAACAAAATTATTTTCCTCGATTGATTATGAACGCAAATACCAAACAAAAATTGACAGAAAACACCGGAAATATGGACTTTAAACGATTCTCACGTAGGACAAAACAACTTTACTTCACAACAACACCAAATTCAACGAGCACGAGAGCGAATTTTTCCTCCAAAAGTTATTAAAACACTTGTAATTTTCACTCGAAAATACTAAACACAATCACAGGGTATGAAACTCAAGTAGTCAGAATGACTTCAATTCACAAAAACACCAAATCTCACAATTTGAGATCAAAGCTTATCTACCAAATGTTGACACAAGTTGTAATTTTCACCAAAGAATAGACAAAACTTTTAACATAAAGCACAAAAACTTCAAATACTTCAGGATTTAACTCGAATAATCCTGCCTGGGTCGCCAAAATGTAACAACTCTTTGAGTTGAAAATGAAAAGTTGGTCCAAAATAAAGATGAGGATAAACAATTTATTTCAAAAGTGGGTTTTAAGACTTAAGCTCAGTACAATACTTAAGATGATAATGATCCTTGGGTTATAAAAGTTAATCTTTTATATCCCAAGGGTGAGTTCTCGTTGGGTTAGTTTTGGTGTTTAACTCACAACGGAATACTATTGGTCAGTTTTACAGGATTAAGACAAAAGGATGATATTTAAGTGTGACAATATGAACAAAAGATAAGATGAGGAAGATAAATTGTCACAGTTATCACTTTGTTATAATATCAGAAAATCATCTTTATAAACCAATAAAATTTCAATTTCTATCCTGAAATATAACTTTTATTTTATATCTCAAGTTAATTGTGATAATTTGTTACTTGAACCTCAGGTAATGACCTTTGTAATTACTCTGTTGACTGTTACATTATCTTATGTGACAAGAGCTTCGATTTTTGATTTGTATACTTAAGCTCTTTCCTTGTATTGAATAAATCATGACGAGTGGATGATATTTATTTGGATCAACATTGAAATATATTATTTGTTGTCGATGATAAATGTCACTTCTAATCTAATACTTATCACAACCTGAACTTTACCTTTCCAATGCTATTTCGGTAACAAAGTTTCATCGTATTTTTATTTATCAATAATATGAAAAATTCTCCAAGTGATTTGCACCGAATAACAATAAACATCAGCTATAGAATTTATATTAATTGTTTATTCGTCAGAGTTAATTAATTTCTAAATGCCTTTGAATCTCTTTGGGTCAATTAGAATCGACTCAAAGAAAAGTTCATAACTGGGGTGATCAAATGTTGAACTTACCATGTCAAGATCACTTATTTCACTGATGCTTCGAATGAGAATGTTAACTTTGACATTGCATGGACCATCTTTAATTGTCACGATTAAGTTGAATGAAGAAGTTCAGATGAGAAGAAAAAAATGTTAAAATTATTCGAAAGTTTTCAAAGTCACATTAATTATTCGATATTATTGTAATTTAAAGTTCGCTAAAAGTTTTCAACAATAACAAGATATTTCGATCTCAATCAGAGGGCCGATTGACCTGAAGTAACAGCCTTGAATGAACTTTCATGAGGCTCAGCGGCTGATTTCATTTGCTAATCTGCTCATTTGATTTACGCAGAGTTGTTAAGATCTCAATTTAAATCTCTTTGTAATGAGCCAATTTATCAAATAATCTTTGATCGCAATCTTATCATAAAATTGATCCAAAAAATGATAATCTGATAAAGATGGAAATTCTGAAGATGATTACTCACCTTTTTCGGATGTTACATTACTGCCCCTTGGTCTTATCCGACTATCATAATTACCATTCCCAATTGTGTTATCTAATATACGTCTTTCAATTGCTCTTAAGCTTTCCAAGCATCTGAATCAGGAAGTTGAGTGAGATGAAGGAAAAGGAAATGGTAAAGATAAAGCAAATTGAAGAAAGTATTAGAATGAAATAGAACTTTTTTCCTCTTTATTTATCAAACGTTTCATATGAATTGTTCTGATGATAAGTGAATAGAATAAAATCATCATCATAGAGTAAACATGTTTTAATGTGTTCGAAATGGTCAGTTCATTAATCAATAAGATCTGTAGTTCATTTAATCAACTCCAATCATCATTTGAGGTCAGGTAAACAAAACGGTGAAAAATTTGCTGACATTTTCAATAACCGAAATCAACATTTTCTTCGTCTTTTATTAGTTATCATACTTTATTCTGAATCACATGCTAACCATGATTCAATGTCAATCTAATCATGAAGTCGAATGTAAAAACATGTTTACCAACTGAGAATTCAAAGCATTTTCATTATTGCACATCGTTGTTTATATCACAGAATCTTAAAGTATCGCAACAAAATGTGAAGCCAGAATTTCAATTTCCGTTTCCATTTAATAGTAACTTTCATGGAGCAGCAATGAAAACTCATTGTTAACTTGGCATGAGGGAGAACTCAATTCAATTGATATTAGGCTAGTGATAAACTTATTCACTTTAACAGCAATAATCAACTTCAACTGCTGTACCAACATTTTGCTCAAACTATCAACTCAAAAGTTGAGCTCATCTAATAAACTGAATCAACGATGAAGTCAGAGCCATTTTAGAGCCAACATCAAGTTCAGATTCCTCAGATTATGACTTTTATCATGATACTTTCTTGTCAATTTGATAAATCTTCGTTTCCATAGATTATAATATGCTGACATAGAATCGCCTGGAGCAAGTTCACTATTCATGTTCTTATTCACAATATGAGTATAATATTATTCATCTACTTCTTATGCATCTCAGTTCTTGATAAAATAACATTGAAACAATCTGATATGAAAGTTTGAAAGTGTTTCATGAATTGTTCAGATTTATCTCAAAAAAGTTATCTACTCTCTCTTTGCAGAATCATATTTATTCATGGAATCATAGAATTAAGCTTATCAGCTGAATTCGGATTTATTATATTGTATTATATTATATTACAACGTGTATCTAATTAGAGTCAAAATTCACCATCTATTATGAAAGGACGAGAAAAAGTATAATAAATCAACACTTTCTTTACTGATGATAATGATACTGCAATTTTATCATCGTGTTTCAATCAATCTCAATGGTTTCATGATCCATTCAGAGTTTACATCAAACAGCACAATTGATAAAATATCAACAACAATTGAAAAAAAACTGATTTGGAAAAATTCAATAACACTAACGTGTAACTACACAGGTTTGCTTTTTCATGGAAAATTTTATTTCATCTCAATTGAAAAATACATTTTCATGAAATGAACTTTTAACCTTAATACAATTTCGCCCCTGGTTATTGATATCTTTTCATTTTTAGATATAAACATTTCTCAATGTGGACAGAAATGGACTGATTTAAATTCATGGCTGTAATTAATTATCGAAAAAGGAATGTGATCTGGTTAAGGAATCGAAGCTTTTAAACTTGGCTAAATTATGTCGAGTTGACAAATTTTTCATTCTTCATGTTTGTATTAGTTTTCGGTGAAAATTAATCTCCTCTTGCTTTCATTGTACTCATAATGATACGATTACTGGTTTGTACTAAGTGTCAATAGACATGATGGAAAATGGAAATAAATTGTTTGATTTGATTATTTCAAAGATTTCAAGATTTTATGGATAACAAAAGTTATAAAGATACAAAAAACAAAAAGATGGACTAACAACATTTCCCTTAACATGTCTACTTGTGTTCGCATCCTCATCATCTTCATCTTCATCTTCATCCTTATTCCTCTTTTCTTTGCAATAACCAAAATATCTCCATCATCTCAAATTGTATCAATGTTAATGCTCTGAGTTCAATCATTATCATCTATTCATTTCCATCATCTTTCTGTATGTTTATCTACTTACTGTTCTTCATCGTTATTATCAGTTCATTCATCATGATAATCATTAATATAACAAAATGTTGATTTCAGGGTAACTTGTTGATTCCTCACTGAGGTGAAACAAGTTGATTTGACATCAACACATGAATTCATCATCGATTTCTGGTTATAGTCAATACTATAGATTGTTGCTTTCATTTTCATTTCAGCAATTAACTAACAATTAACGATCATTCTGGCTTTGATCATGAATTGATGAACACATCAAAATTGTCCCTAATGATTTATGATAATCATTAACAAGCTTTAATAATGATTCTCATCTCTTGATTGTCAAATCGATGTCGCATCCTGATGATTTAAATAATTAAGTACATTTACATGTATTTGCGAAGATAAATCAACATGAGAAAGGAAAAGTTTCTGATAATAAATGAACGAACTCTCATCAAAATGTTAATTGATAAATTGCAATGAAAACAAAGAAATCAACTAAGATGAAATTCCATATTAAATTGTTGATTCAAACGATAAGATGATGAAGATAAAATTAGCTTGATAGGAGAGAGTTAATTATAAATGATGACTAAGAATAGTAATTAGTAAATTAACATTGAAATTAACATTGACAGGGTATTGAAAGCATAGGTAACAATGGAAAGAGTTTGATTGTCATGTTGATTAAAATGATGAATGATCAGAGTGACGAGATGGTTTTAATTGTAATAATTAAAATAATTTACTCACGAGAATAACTTGAAACCGGTAAATGTTAACAAAATTGGGTAAAAAGTTGCAACATTGATCCTCAAGGGAATTGTATCCATAGGAAATGATTTACTCTCAATCTAATCTTGATTAATTGTCACAATTGATTAAAGAGGTTTTCGATTATCACAAAGAAACAAGACACAATTAAAAGACAATAAATGAAACAATTAACTGACTGTGTAAAACATTGAAGGTTAAACGTTTCAAATTTAATTTGGTTACTGATTCTTTCTCATTGAGGTAACAATTTAAATCTCAAGTTATTAATTGTTGGAACAGTTTGTTGATTGTTGTTTTGACTTCGTCAAATTGATGGAAAACCTTTTCTCAAGTATCACCAGAATTGGAAATGGACCAAAGATGGAAAATGAGATTTTCTATTCCTGTTGTGAAACTGTTTCAACAGGATTCAGAATGGAACTGAGAGTTGACTGAATGACTATTGTAAGAATATTATTGAGAAGAGAAAGAAAAGGAAAATGGAGATAATGAGAGAGGATGAAGATGAAAATGATGAGGTAAAAGTATTACCACTGGAATAAAGGTGAATATAAAATGACAGAGAGAATGAAGGTGATTATTGTAAGGGTATTACGTAAGAGGTTAATCTAATCTCTTTAAGCTATTTTAAACTGTCTTATCAATCACATGATATTTAAATTTGAATCATTTGACCAACAGAAAGATTGAGTATAAAAGCCAATAAGTAAGGACCTTACTCATCAGTTAACAATCAGTCAATCAGTTAACTTTTGTCATTCAATTTACAATCGATCAGTTAATCATCTTTGGTAAATTTGTCAATTAACCTTTATTTGTACTTCATGTATTCATTTAACTAATCACCCCTTTTTATAATTTGATTTCCCTCTCACTTCATTGACTAATCAAGTTCCTAATTAAACTTACTCAAATTAAAATTTATTCTCCAATAAATCAACCTCAGTCTTTATAAATCTAAACCTCAATCAAAACGTGTCTCTCTGAATAATCCCCCTCGGTAACTTGTAACTGTGCCTACAAAATGGTGGAGATGCCGATCTTATTCAAGTGATAAAATTTTGATGTGTAAACAGGCCTAGTCAACGTGTATAAGCCTATAAACTGCTATAAAAAGCTTCAGCCAAAGCTTCCAGTTTCCTTTTCCGTTGATTTACAAAAGGTGTAGAGACTCTACAAGGACAAATTCCTTCTGACCTTCAGAGTGGGCTAAAGGTGTGAGAAAGGTCCTTTCTCACGAAATCTAGGTGGTACTTAGATCAAGAGTGAAATATTAGCTACAACTTGTGGGTTAAGAAATTAACTGTTAATTTGTGAAAGTGATAAAATCAAAATCATCGTTAAAATGTCGCAAACAGATAAAGTGGAAAAAGAAAGAGAAATTGAAGTCCCAAGGATGGAACTTATCGCAATTGCTGATGAATGGGGAATAATAAACCCATCACAGAAATCAAACGTGATGTTACAAAGGGAGATTTGGGAAGCCCAAGTTCTCCAAGAATTATACGAAAGTGGTTCAGATGAGTTGCCTGAAGCACTAAGTGTAAACCCTCGACGCCATTACGAATATAAATGGGTGGACGGTATAACATTGAGAAAATCCGGTGTGGATTTCGAAAACCTTGGTCGTTTAATAAAAGCCAAAATTTTGTGTATAGATCAGTTTCTAACATACAATCAACAACAATTAGAGGAGGAAGTTGGAATAACACCAGCGATCGCGGCCCTAATTTCAAATAAATATTGTAGAAGAGAAAAAGCATCATTCATGGAGCGTTTGGAAACGCTGAATAACAAAGAAGTAAGATTGAAACCTGAGCAAAAAGAAGCCATGGATCGAATGAATCGTCGGAAATGGCCGAACAGAGAAAATCAACCATTCACCGAATTCATTCAAGTAGTTGAATATGATCTAAGGACCTTAGATCCAACAAGAAATTCGTGGGTAAGCCATGCGACAGTCTTATTAGAATCAGAAGCAAGAGTAATAGCAGAAGAATTGAAAATCGAAAGACCAAATATTCTGTGGGAAGAATGGAAGAAAATGATGATAAACTCAACCATCACATCAAGTGAAAAAGCTGACTCAGCTTATGTGATCTACCAAAAGAAATGGGACTCGAAGGAAGACCCGAAAATTCATCTAAAGAAGATTGAAACAGCAGTAAAAATTATTCATCCACAAGCAGATAAACAAACAGTCGCTATGTTTTTACTAAATTCATTACCTTATTATGTTCAGAATAAGATAATACCAGAAAGTGCAACGTGTGATGCTGATAGCATCAAAAGAAAAGTTACCGGAATCTGGCAAGAGGCCAGTAGATTAAATACAAGAAACACCAGAGGAGGTCCTCCTCAAGGTCAAGTTCCACAGAACCAAAGGTTCAACAGAAACATGAACACCCCAGTTAAAGAAAAATCAACAGAAAAATGTTCTCATTGTTCAGCGATTGGACACAATGAAGAAAATTGTTGGACTAAATATCCCGAAAAGAGACCAGCGCGTCAACAAGCAAATCTACAGACAACACCAAGTAAAGTAAATTGTGTCGAAATGGATATTCCGATCGAAGGTGGACGAACCTATGCAACAAAATTGATAGTGAGTAAAAGCTCAACTCACTTACCTGAGAATGTGAGACACCCAGTGATCAAAGTGATGATCAACAACGTAGAGGTCGAAGGAATGTTCGACACAGGAGCATGTACAAGTTTAATCAGCAAGGACCTTGCCATTAAACTTGGATTATTATCATATCCTTTTGAATTGAAATTTTCATCAGCCGATAAAACACAAATGATAAGATCAGATTGTTTTGTGCCACTGAGAGTTTACAATGGAAATGAGCCAAAGATAATGGTGGCGTATGTAATAGATGGACTATCAAACGATATTCTTTTTGGTGAAAATATCATAAAGGTAACCTGGTTGGTTATAAAAACGAATGGTTTAGGTAAACCATACACGTTAAAACACAGAGATTTAAGTCATGATTACACGTTAAAAATCGAACCACCAAGTATGAGTGAGATAGAAGCGTTATTACAAAATTGGTACAAAGACGATTACGATCTAAACAAAGTAAAACCAGTGGAAGAGCAAGTAAATAGGAAGAAGGACCTTCTTCCTTACATTCAAGAACCATTAAGAAATTGGGAAAACAAGCGAGAAATAACAATTCAACAAACGTTAAGAATCAATTTGGTAAAATTCATTCATGAAAACTATCCAAAAGATTATCCGTTGATAATCAACAAGATCGAAGAGTTTCAGGACAATGAATTAGATCTACCGGAAGAAGTCGACGACATGAAACAAAGATTATACAACCAAATTAATACAGAGATAAGTGAGGAAGATAAACAAAAGATACATAAGGTATTGATGGAAGAGAAAGGATCTTTCTCTAAAAGCAAGTTCGACTTGGGTTGCGTGCCAGCCGAGTTCACCAAATTTCGAATTGACATTGGAACTAATCATATACCAAAATGTAAGCCTTTTCGATCGAGCGAAAAGATGAAAATGGAAATGAGAAAAATTATTCGAGAATTTAAAGAAAACGGAATAATTGAAAATTCGGATGTGGGTGGAGGAGCTCCAGCATTCGTGGTACCAAAACCAAATGGTACGTGGAGAATGGTAACCTCATACATCGAATTAAACAAGTTAATCCAGAAAAGAAAATTCCCTATGCCAAATATCGATGACGCAATAAATCGATTAAAAGGAAGCAAATATTTTACAACATTGGATTTAGCACAAGGCTACTATCAACTCGAAATTCCAGAAAGTGAAAGAGATAAGACTAGTTTTGTAACCGAAGACGGTTGTTACAGATACAAAAGATTGCCAATGGGTTTGGCCGATGCACCATCATATTTCCAAGAGGTCATCAACAAAGTTCTTGGAGAGCTGAAATATTCATGTTGTTTCGGATATTTCGATGACATTGTAATATATGCAAAGGACATCGATCAACTGTGTAATAATATGCGTCAAGTAATTGGAGCATTGAAAGTATTTGGTTTCAAAAACAGAGTCGAAAAGCTCCAAGCAGGAGTAACTCAGTTCGTATGTTTAGGACATTTGGTTTCTGGAAGAAACATCCAACCTGACCCCAAGAAGATAGAACGGATTAAGGCCCTTAATCCACCATCGTCTCAAAGTCAGATTAGATCTCACCTTGGTCTATTCAATTATTTTTCAAGATTTATTCAAAACTACGCAATAATTGCAGCACCATTACAAGAAATGGTCAAGAACAAATATAAAGGTATCGCGATTACATTGAATAAAGCAGCTTTAAAAAGTTGGAATCAACTCAAGGAAGCGCTAACGGAAAAGTGCTTACTGACTCATTTCTACGAGGAAAGAGAGACAACATTAATCGTCGATGCATCTGCAGTAGCAATTGGAGGAATATTGGCTCAAAAAGATGAAGATAACATTTGGAATCCTGTTTACTTTTTCGGATGTAAACTTCAAAAGTACATGTATTCATGGAGAACGACAGAGAAAGAATGTGCAGCAGTGGTCTATGCATGTCAAAAATTCGCACATTTCTTGAGACACAAGAAATTCACGGTAATCACCGATCACCATGCTCTCTGTGAGCTAAAGAAAACAAGATTTAAAGTTACACGAATCATGAGATGGCAGAATGATTTAGCAGAATTCGATTTCGACATACAATATTTGAAAGGTGAAAAACATCCAGCGGATTGTTTTTCAAGATCAAACGAATGGTCACATCGACAAAAGGGAGAAATGAAAGACGATCATTTCGATAAGTATTTGAACTATTGTGGAGAATACGAATCGGATGAAGAAGATTACGAATTGATGGAAGAAGAAAAAATCGTTAATCACGAGAGTCAGAAGGTCCTTCTGACTGTGGTCAAAGAATTTGATTATTTAGATCGAATCCAAGAAAAGAATCTGATGGCAACGATTAAATCACCCAAGTTACAAAAAGACAAAGAAAGTGAACTTAAAAAGGAACAAGAAAACGACAATCGATGTAAAATGTTTAAACAAGATTTGGAAAATGGAAAAATGAAACGTAGATACGAGATACGAGATGGAATCCTATTCAGAATTATGAATGATAAATCAACAAGATTTTATTTACCAGATTCACTGATTGACACTGTTTTCAATCAATACCATAATGCTCTAGAGGCAGGTCATTTTGGTTGTAAACCAACATTAAACAAAATCAAATTGGATTTCTGGTTCCCAGAAATGGATGAGATAATTCAGCAAAAGATTGAGGCATGTGAGAAATGCCAAGAAAACAAAGTGAAAACGTTCAAAATGGGCAAAGCTAAAGCGATGAAACTTCCTGGAAATCCATTTGAAAGAGTTCAAATAGATATGATTGGAAAGTTTCCAACATCAACAAGCGGTAATCAATTCGCATTGGTAGCAGTCGATACACTCACTCGTTACGGTGTAGCGAAACCCGTTAAGAAAGGCACAGGCAAGGAAGTGGTAGCATTTTTGGAACAAATAATGAATATCTATGGTAAAATTAAAACCTTG